GAATGCGAGAAAACTTCCAAACCATGGTTCCTCCAAATTGAAGAGCTATTTACTCTCAAGCTACTACTGGTTCTATAAAGATCATCACCAGGATCCATATTATCGAGAGAGAGAGAATGCTAGAAACCTTGAGCGAAATGAATCTTATAAGGTTGAGCAATTTTTTATCTGTTTTCTTATTGATCCGAAGGTGGGAAAATAATCAATGAACATGAGACAATGTTATATTTCATGGCATTGGTAATGAAGTTATAAAGTACCATGTTAAATGTAAGTTAGGCTAGGGGACAATCTACATGATATGCTTCTTAAATTTAGCACAAGGAAATTAAATGGTGGATTGAAATCTGACCTGTTTTTCTAATTGTTCCTAACCTTTCACTTTCACTTTCACAGCACCCGTAGTCCCAAATGACCGTCGAAATTGTCATTAAAATGATACGTGAGCTGGACATCTTCTTCCCTTACACCCCTAGCACCTGCCCCTACCCTACTCCCAAGCCCCCGACCATTCCCCATCCCTACCCACAGGGTCAACAAGAAGGATGGAGAATTTACTTTGCTAGATTAGTAGCAGAATCAAGAACAAAGTTCAAGTGATGTCCAAATGTTCTATGAGCTGCAGAGAGTGAAAGATAATACAACTCTGCAAAAGCACATTAAGAAATTACATTAATACGAGCTGGAGTGAACTGGCAGTCGAGGAGATTAGTTAGTTAAGTTAAGTTAGTTAATTGGAATCTTTTCTTTCTATTTAAATCCCATGTAAATGTACTGATTTAGTTCAACTGAATGAGATTGCTCTTCATGCTTCATTTCACATTTTCCCTCTGATATGGTATCAGAGCATTAATTACTTTTCCGCTTAAACTCTGAAAATCATCTTGATTCTTCTTTTGTTGCTATTAATTTCTGAATTCAATTCCAATCAGAATCGCCATGGAAAATGAAGCTTTTATTCATGGAAATTTCGAAAATTCCTCCACGGATGATAGCGAAAACCCTTACTATCTGCACCATTCTGATAACCCAGGGCTGATCCTTGTATCTCAGCCATTAATTGGAGAGAATTATACTTCGTGGAGTAGATCTATGTTGATTGCATTGTCACTCAAAAATAAAATAGGATTCATCGATGGTTCTATAATTCGACCTGAACATGATGATGATCTTCTCAGTCAATGGATCCGAAATAATAACATTGTTATCTCATGGATACTTAATGCAGTTTCTAAAGAGATTTCTGCTAGTGCGATTTACTCCGAATCTGCTCATGATATTTGGATTGCTTTGAAGGAAAGGTACCAACAGCGTAATGGACCACGCATCTTCTAATTGAGGCGCGAACTGATGAATCAAACTCAAGGCCAGTCATCAGTGAGTGCCTACTTTACAAAATTGAAGACAATCTCGAAAGAAAACTACAGACCAGTGTGTTTGTGTGGAAGTTATAGCTGTGGTGGATCTAAGAACCTAGCCGATCATTATCAAACATAATACGTGATGTAATTTCTGATGGGTTTAAATGATTCATTTGCTAAGGTCAGAGGTCAACTACTGCTTATGGATCCTATACCTCCTATTAACAAGGTGTTTTCTCTTGTATCTCAAGGAGAACATCAAATGAATGTTATTGCCACTTCAAATGCCACTGGATTAGCTGGAGATTCAATGGCATTTTATGCCAAAAATGATGTGAAAATGAGTAACACTGGGCAAGTGCATAATAAGTTTCCAAGGAAGGAGAGACATATGTGCACTTATTGTGGTTATGTTAGCTATACTGTAGATAAGTGCTACAAGTTGCACGGTTATCCACCTGGATTCAAGAGTAAACAGAGACTTCAATCTATTGCTCAACCTGTTGGAAACAAATTACCAAATTACATTGGTGCTAATCAAGTTTCTGAAGATGTTTCAGAACAAAAAACAAAGAGGTATGGAGAATTTCATGCGGACTTTAAATCAAGGCCAATACCAACAGCTGATGAATATGTTGAACAACCACTTAACATCTGTGAAGGTGGATACTGGAGCAGAAAGTGTGCACTCAAATCAAGTATTAGGTACTTGTGTTTCCACTTCCAGTAACACGTTGGCTAATTTCCCTAAACATTGGTTTATTGATTCAGGAGCCACCAGTCGTATTTGTTCACATTATTCAACATTTCTAGATATGAAATATGTGAAAAACGCTTTCGTGACTCTACAAAATCATGAAAGAATTTCTGTTAAGTTCATTGGGACAGTGAAAGTGACTCCCAATTTGATATTAAAGGATGTGCTATATGTACTAGAATTCAAATTCAGCGTGATGTCAGTGAGTTCTTTGACTAAAAATTCAAATGTGGCAGTGCAATTTCTTACTGATTCGTGTTTTATTCAGGACTTTCACAGCAAGAAGATGATTGGCAAGGGTGAGAGATTGGCTGAGTTATACATATTGAAAGATGGCTCATTTGATGTGGTGAAAGTTAGTAGTAATCATATTTCAGTTTGTTCATCTGTTAACAACGTAAACGTTCATGTTTAGCATCACAGGCTTGGTCACTTGTCATTTCATAAATTGGAATTGTTAAAGGACCAATTACCTATAGTTTGTAATAAAAACAAGAACAATATATCAGTTCCTTGTCAAATCTGTCCATTAGCCAAGCAAAAAAGGTTGTCATTTGCTTCTTACAATCATATGTCTGATAACAGTTTTAATCTTGTCCATTGTAACACATGGGGCCCTTACCATGTCCCTACACATTGAGGATATAAGTATTTTCTAACACTAGTAGATGATTGCACTTGTTTCACATAGGTATATCTCATGAGACATAAATCAGATGCCCTCTTCATAATTCCCAGATTTTTCAAAATGATTGAAACTCAGTTTTATAAGTCAATCAAAAGGTTCAGATTAGACAATGCCCCTGAGCTGCAATTTACTGACTTCTTTCATTCAAAAAAGTTCCTACATCAATTCTCTTGTGTTGAAAACTCCGTTGTCGAGAGAAAACATCAACATCTTTTCAATGTTGCCAGAGCTTTGTATTTTCAAGCTAGAATTCCTATCAAATTCTGGGGGGGAATGTGTTTTAACTGCTGCTTACCTCATTAACAGGACTCCAACTTCAGTTTTTCCAAATAAATCTCCTTTTTCCCTAATGTATAACTTTCCAGTTGACTAGTCTTTGTTAAATGTATTTGGCTATCTGTGTTTTGCCTCTACTCTTTCATCTCAAAGGTCAAAATTCCACCCTAGAGCTAAAGCCTGCATCTTCCTTGGTTATCCCCCAGGTATAAAAAGCTACAAGCTCTATGACATTGTCTTAAAAACATTCTTAGTGTCCAGGGATATTGTTTTTCATGAACAACATTTCCTATTTCATTCCATATATGATCATTCATCATACGTTGATCCATTCCCTGACTTTGTTTTGCCAAAAGCTGCACCTGATATCTCTATTCCTATCCCAATTATTCATCATAATCCTGCTACTGACTCTCTCCCAAATTTCCCCAATGTGTCATCACCTGAAATACCAACTGAGTCTGCAAGTGAATCTCAAAACTTGCAAGTCAATCCTCCTTCTTAATCACTAATCCCTCCACGGACCTTATTCATACCAGAAGATCTTCCAGAACTAGCATCCCACCTTCATACCTTAGGGATTTCCATTGCAATCTCCTAAGGAATTCACAGCCATTAGATGACAAATCACCTTATTCAATTTCTAACTATATTTCATATAGCCGTTCTCCCCTACATACAGTAATTTTCTTCTATCTGTTTCTTCAAACTTTGAATCTTAATTTTATAATCAAGCAGTAAAGTTTGCTCATTGGAAAGAGGCTATGGACGATGAACTGAAAGCCATGGAACTGAACAATACCTGGTCCATTACAAACCTACCTAAGGGAAAGCATTCCATAGATTGCAAGTGGGTTTATAAAGTCAAGTATAAATCAGACGGAAGCATAGATAGATATAAGGCAAGGCTTGTGGCTAAAGGTTACACGCAGCATGAGGGATTGTACTTTGTTGAAACATTTTCTCCCGTGTTTAAGTTAGTGACTGTCAAGGTTCTTTTAGCCATTGCTGCAGCACATAAATGGGAGATTACATAGCTGGATGTCAATAATGCATTCCTCAACAGTGATTTATTTGAGGAGATTTATATGGAGCTTCCAATGGGATACAATACTCAGGTTCATTCTGGCAAATAGGGGGAGCACCTAGTATGTAAACTACACACGTTAATATACGATTTGAAACAGGCCTGAAGACAGTGGTTTTCTAAATTCTCACATGCTCTCATCCAAAATGGGTATAACCAGTCGAAGTCTGACTATTCATTGTTTACCAAAGGCACTGGTGCTTCTTTTGTGGCCTTACTTGTGTATGTAGATGATATAATCATCACATGGCCAAACCATCAAGAAGTGAAAACATTGAAGACTCTCTTACATAACCAATTCAAGCTAAAAGATCTGGGGCAGCTGAACTACTTCTTGGGCTTAGAAATTGCCAGATCATCTAGAGGCATTTTCTTATTATAGCGCTACTACACTCTTCAACTCCTTGAAGACACATGTTTTTTGGCCTGCAAGCCCACTCTTTACCCATGGATCCAAAGATTCGTCTCAGCTCCTTTGAAGGTGATGTTTTAGCTGATGTATCACTATATAGAAGGTTAGTTGGGCTACTATTGTACTTGACCGTCACGAGACCTGATATCACGTTTGCGGTTCACAAGTTAAGCCAGTTTGTATCCCAACCAAGGTAACCACATTTAGATGCAGTCCACCACCTGTTGAGGTACATAAAATCCATCCCAGGTTAAGGAATTTTATTTCTTGCACGCTCTTATTTTCAGTTGAGAGCTTTTGCAGACGCAGACTGGGGATCCTGCCTTGATTCAAGAAAATCCGTTACAGGATTTTGTGTGTTTCTTAGAGAGTCTTTGGTATCGTGGAAGGCTAAGAAGTAGACTACCATTTCCAGATCATCCGCTGAAGTAAAGTACTGGGCTTTGGTGTCTATTACTAGTGAGTTGATTTGGATTATCAATTGCTCATTGATCTACAAATTTTCCCACACTCTCATGCACTGATCTTTTGTGACGGTCAAGCGGTCATCCATATTGCTTCAAATCCAATTTTCCATGAGCGTACCAAACATATAGAGATTGACTGACACTTTGTCAGAGATAAACTTACTGATGGTTTCATCAAGCTCCTTCCTATTTGAACACAATACCAACTGGCTGATGTTTTTACTAAGGTACTACCCGCTTCTCTTCTATTTCCCTTATTATCCAAGATGGGTGTCCTTAACGTGCACTCTCCATCTTGAGGGGAAGTAATGCGAGCTGGAGTGAGCTGGCAGTTGAGGATAGGGCTGTCCGTGAGTCGGTTCGGTTCTGAAGAGACCCGAACTGACCCAAAACTTTCGGGTATTTAATAAATGGACCCGTCGGGTCCAAATATAATTATGGAACCGTTCGGGTTCGGTTCGGTTCGGTTCGAGTCGGTTCCGTACCATAATTAAAATTTTTAAT